TCCTGGAGAGAGGAAAATTGTTTTTACTCAGTCTAATAATTCAAATGCTAATCTTTTCCAGAGTAGTTCTCCCAAATACATCCAGAAATAATATTTTACCAGCTAGCTTGGCATTCTTTAGCCCAATCAATTTGGCATATGAAGCTAACAAACAGAGTATTTTTTTTCTCTTTCTTTGTTTTCCTTTTCAGTCATCACTACAAAGAAAGGTGACTTTTATAAAATGTGTAATTGTTTCATGCACATGAAAGAGGAGAAATTAGCACAAATCTTAGAGAATCTCCTTAGTATGTGAGATTGGTTGGTATCAGCTTTCTTAATTTTCAGAAATTAGTAATTAATAAGAATCCAATAAATATTTATAGAATGAATGAATAAGATTAGCTTTCTTTTAAATTATTTCAGAATCATGGAAGACATAAATTTTCTGACAGGGAGAGAGTAGAATCTGTGTTGTGTCTCTTCTTCCCCATCTGTTGTGCTGAAATGCGATCTAGTGGACCTTTCCCTTTTCCTTTGTAGCCATTTACATGAGTTGTGATGATTTCACTTGTTAACTTGTTCATTTTGTGTCTGCCAACCCTACTGGAATATCTAGACTAGGCAAGTGCCATGTCTTCCTTGCTCAAAATGTTAGTATAGTAAATATGAAGATGAGGCACTCAGTTAAAATGTGTTGAAAAAATCAATTTGTTTTTTCAAGGGTCCATTTTCATCTTATTGGGAAAAGGAAATCACATTGTAATTTTTTAAAAATTTGTACATGCAGCAAGCTTGCCATGAATTCATATGGGTCACCAAATTTGTAATGGGTTTTCAATAAAAATTGCTTTCAAGAAGTTCAGAATATACACTTAGTAATTATTTCACTATGTAGTATTACTGGAAGTTGAAACTTTAGTTCTGGTATTGCTGGAAATTAGTTGCCTAATAAATATTTGGCACTCAGATACTTTGTTCAGAAAAATTTCCAACAAATCTGGATACCTGTTACACCTTCTCACCCAGTAATTTAGGAAGTCTTAAATTGAGGGACTTAACTATTCTTTGAAATTTTGACAGTTAAGAAATACGATAAAGGGACCCAGCAGAGTACTCACTAGGGAGAAGGAAAAGTGTCTTCAGTAGTTGCCAAACATAATACAGTTGAGAGAGAATCTCATCATTAACCAGGGATTCTCCAAAAATGGAAGATTTTTTTTATCTTCAATCAGGAAATGTGGACCTGCTCACTCTGTCCTTGATTGAGCCATAAGCCCAAGACAGTCTTCTGCACCTGCAGTACCAATGACAGTTAAACTCTCATCATCTCACTATGGTTTCCTTAACTGCTTGTCCTTTGGTTTAGCTAGCTTCCTGCTCATGGTCCCTTTGTCCCTTGTTAATTTTCTTCTACATTACTTTTTCTGTTAAAAGTAGTTTGCCCCTTAGCTTACCTTTTCCTTTAGAGGCAAATTATAATTCCTTAGGCAGACAAATAGGTCTTTTCCCCCAATCTTTCCTTTTCTCTAGTACATTGTCTCCTTGTCTTTTCCACTATAAACATAAAGCTATTATAACATTTTTGCAGAAATAAACTGTACCTTTTTTTTTTTTGGCCAGGCTATTTTTTATTTTCTAACTCACTACCTCCTTCTACACCTGGAAAACTCAGTTCTTGAGCCCTATCTTGAGTGTTATATCTCCTGTGAGACTTCTGATGCTTATATAGATGAGTAGTCTGAAGTATCAAATTTATACTTCTGTCATAGTATCATGTGCATTGTAATCTGTCTGTTTATATTCTAATTGTCATCCATTATTCTGGTAACTAATTTATCTTTCTAAACCTTGTTTATTTGATAATCATTATCAAAATTTTGCTGAATGAATGATTTTGAGAGACCACCCCTCAAACAAATATGCAAATAGAAATTCCTAAACATGTTGAAAGAATTTTGTTGAACCCAGTGGTCTAGAGTGTTAAAACCAAATTACATAATAAATTATTAAACTGAAATCTTACAGCAAGCATAGGGAAAGTAAAATCCTAGAAATAAGAATAAAGACAATACTTTCAGTAATTGCATGCTGGTTTTGGAATTTTCATGATTTTATGTTGAAATGCTGAATATCACTTAAGAGTTTAGGGAATATGTCAGTAAGAAGAATTAGCTTGCCAAGGTTTTAGCTACTGACAGATTCTTCCAGAAATGGTGTCTGAGAATAAACATCTTAAGTGCATAGATTCAAAGTGAATGTGGACTAATTGGTTGCTAGGGAGACTATATGGATCACTAACAGCACAGGGCTGAATATGACCAGCATTTTCAGAGTAGGCAGAAAAAAGTAATGTTTTTTTGTTTTTGTTTTTGTTTTCCCCACAAACTTACCTCAGCTCTACCACAGTAGATTGATGCGTATAAAGCTAATGTAGGGTGAGTTTTTTTGCATTTTTTTAACTTTTAGTTTTCTCCTACTGTTTACCTGGAATGGCATTATAGATGCAAATTTGTGTATTGTTTCCCAGTGTTGTGAAGTTAAGGCATTGTTCGAAATTTTCCTTGTTCTATACAGACCTGGAATACTACCTATTATTGCCCACCTGAGAATTATACTGAAGGTTTAAGTGAGTTCCTGGTGGAAACCAAAGCAAAACAAAGAAACCTGGAGAATCCACATGTCCACTGGGACTAGGGGTTATTACAGATTCTGTCCTTGTAAGGATTCTGCAAATACTGTTGTTCCCCAATTTAGATTTGCAACCTAAACTTTAATAGTGTAAGGTGTTAAGTTGTGTTTTCACAGATGTATGCCTAGGGTAAACTTTCATTCAGACATGGTTTGTTATTCTAGAGCATTTAGTTTGTTTTTATTAATTTTTAATTTACATATGACAGTGGAATGCATTACAATTTTTATTACACATATAGAGCACAATTTTTCATATATCTGGTATATACAAACTATATCACACCAATTTGTGTCTTCATACATGTACTTTGGATAATAATGTCTATCACATCCAAGTTTGGTTAGTAGGGAGATTACTTGGGAAGGACTATTTCATCTCTCTCTCTCTCTCTCTCTCTTTTTAGTGGTCCTGGGGGTCAAGCCCAGGGCCTTGTGCATGCCAGGCAGACACTGAGCCACATCCCTAGCCCCATTAGTGAAGTGTGTACTCTAAGATGGTAATGATTAACTTGTGCATATAATCATTTGCATGTGTCAGAATGCACAATTAAAATTAATTTTATAACAGTCAATGTTAATAGGACACATTTCACCATTGGAAATATTTTAAAATTCCAGAAGAATTAAAATATTCAAAATTAATGATAATTTTAGATATTTATTGTATATAGCCTTCATAGATCAGGAAAACTATAATGAAGAAAATATTAGGAGGACTTGGAAACAAGCCTATGTGAACTATAAGTGTTATTATTTGTATATAATATGCAACATAATAAACCACATAATATGGAGAATGATACACTCCAAAGATAAAACAAAGATACAAGAGCCATTGTATGTGTACAGTATAAGCAAAATGCAACCGTTGGGTGCTCCTGCTAAAAGCAAGTGTTTCCATGTATATGCTCAATCCTGTTTATATCTGTTGCATTCTTACTTCTCAAGTTCAGTCTTGCTTTACCTGCTACATGGTAGGTCTAGGTGTCAGTCAAAACACCATAATATTATCTGACAGAAAATACATAGAAAAACTATTAACTTATAAATCTCCAATGCTTGCTTTCAGGTTATATAAGAACTCTGAGTTATGAATGGAGTTGACAAAGGCAAACATTGGCTGCTGGCTTACAAACTTCTGAACTTCACAAATACTTTTGAAAATATACATTTTTTGCACACATTTTTCTCTCATTAAATGTTATAGAAATTACTTTTGCGTATATATTTCCCAGTAAATCACATTTCCTTTTATACAAGATTCAATTTTTTATCACAATTGGAAGGTTATGCTGTTGTAGGTTCTGTTTAGTAGCCTCACTATCTTATAGCATCTATCACCGGGACATCATAGAGTAGTCTGTGGGTACTGCCTTTCAACAATGTCTGGGAACACTTTTAAAAAAATGTACTTATTTAAATGAATTTAATCTAAACACTTTTTATAAAAGAAGGAGATGTTTTAAGAAGATCAAAACAAAGATTTTGTATTTTTGTATTATGGTTCATGAAAGAAAATATTTATTTTTTAGTATCTTTATTTTGTATAGACATTTTAATAACTAAATTGCACCAGTATTAATATCTAGGGGTTTTTCTTGTCTAGCACTATTCACAGAGCTGGAAGTAAATTCATTGCTAATAAAACGGAAGTGATGATATTCTTTTCTTAAGATAGGAACAATATAGTAATATAGCAAGGAATTGTAGTTCCTTTACTAATATGTCTTAGGGATATAATCTTACTATGACATATCTCTGCTAATCATAGACACAGGGTTGTTAGGCAGAATTTTGTCAGCAGAATTTTGGTTTGATTAACTCTAGTAAAAGAGGATCACTCTTTTACTACAGTTTAAGAGTTCTAAATTTCTTTTCAGATGTTGAAATTCCATTAGCAGAATATAGTATTGAAAAGTATCAAATGTGCCTAGGTTAGAGTTCTGCAAAATTAATTCAATACCAGAAAAGAAATTAATTTCAATTCATGTCTTTGATCAACTTACATCCTAATGTACAAGCACAAGTTAAATTTTTAAGGTTTTCTGAGGAGGTAAACGACCTACAAATACAAACCAGAGATGATATCTCTCATATTGAAAGAAAGAATGTATAGTGCTTCCCATCCTTTTGTACTGTTCTAACTTTTGACTGCTACTATTATTGAGAGAATCAATACTACATGTTCTGTCTGTTCTGAGAAGAAGATGCTCTTTAGGTTCTGCCTCAGCTAAGCTCTTATATCTGTGACTTTATGATTGAATAAATAATATTATCTGCTAATGTATTATCTCACTAAGAATGTTTAAAAAATTCATCTCTCCTAGGCTTGGATAACATATTGTCAGCATATTTTTGTGTGTAAGAAGACTATGTTTGTGGCAGACTATGGAATTGTGAAGGTAAATGACATATAACAATTTATTAACTATTTCCTTATAATTTTATGAATTCTACTTTTTCTATTCTGCTTTCAGCAGTTAATCTCTGAGATACTTGGGAGACATTTATTTTAGATAAAAGTTAATCAGACTGATATCTATTTTATAATAAGAGAAAATTCAAATAGTAAGAGAATCAGAAAAATAATTTAATTCATATCTTTAGTTGGAAAATTCTAAGTCTATTAACGATGAAGAAAATTATTTATTGTCCTGGGATTGGAAGTTCTGAGAAAGACCCAAAGTTTTATAAAAATGAAAACTGATCAGCCATCTCAACATTGTATTTTATTTATAATTTATAAAATTACATCAAATAATGAATGCTTAGTATTTACTGCAGGACAGATATGTGACTAGATCTTATTTTGGACATATCGGATTTTTCATGTATCTTAGAATCTAGAAAAGGAGGGAATGAAGAAGAGTTCTACCAAAAACAATACGTAATATACATATTTTATGCATTCTAAATCTTTTCAGTTCTTGGTAATGAAATGTACAATTTCAATGTACAAATTCTTAGTAATGTACAATTTATGTACAATTCATAGTAAACAATGAGTTAAAATTACAATATTAGAATGTATGTGCATTTAACTGCATTCATGTAGCTCTCATTTTTCTGCAAAAAGGAATAATAAAAATAACTCATGAAATTGTCTTAAGATTAAAATGAGATAATAAAAGCACTTATCACAGTGCGTGTCCAATAAACACAGATTTCTAATAGATTTTATTTATGTCAGTAATTTCAAAAGGTAATTCTCATGTCTATATCTTTTGAAGATTTAAAATTTTATGTAATTTTTGTATATTAATATGTCATTTTTAATTTCCTTCCCCTGTATATACTGTACTTTTGAGCATCTCCTGGATACACGTACTCAAACATTTATTTTCTTCCTGGGCATGATAAGAGGGTAAAAAACACAGGAAGAAAAGGAAATCACTTTGGAAATAATGAAATACAATTTCTGCCTTCAAGCAGGCAACATTTTAAAGTAAAACCAGTATTCACAGAAAATTTGAAAACAAGTTTTTATTAACTAAAAGAGTAGTTTGGGTAATTTATTTTATTATAAGCCCCACTTCTTTATCACTTAATTGCCCACAGGACTTTTAAGGGTTATGATTTTTTAGAGTCCCAAGATTTAAGAAGAATGAAGAAATGTGTTTTAAAAAGTTAAGGAAAACTTGTTATGCAACCTAAAGAAGGCACATTGTAACAAATTACATATTTCTATATATTATGATACATATGGTATGAATACAAGCCAAAGACATATCTGTTGAAATCAGATCATATATTTAAATTACAGAAATATATGATCCTGTGCTTTATTCTTCATAAAGATTCCCACTGAAAAAGAAAAAAGAAAGAAAAGATCTTATTCCTAAAAATAAATGCATATATTCTGAAGTCTCATCTACTCTAGTTTAAAACCATGTTTTTGTTTTCTATATTGAACACAATTATTTTGGTTTATAGTAGCTAATAATTAATGCAAGATCCTATGACAGAAATTTGGAAATTTAACACAGATGCTTAGATGAATGGGGAACCTCATGATTCTACAGAATGTCACTGCTTGTGCTTTTGGATCCAAATAAATGCTTGGGCAGTTAAGTCCACAGGAATTGAAAACAAGTTCTGTCCACAGCCCCAAGAGATGTCAGGAACCATGAATGCTGAGGACCTAGAAATGTACCCTTGATGGTCTCAGATAGTGCTGCAGCACACTGAGTCCCAGAACTGACAGCGAGATATCAAAGTGAGAAAGATAACTTCTAGATTTAACATAGGAAATAAAGCCTCTGCACAGGAAAAAAAAAAACACAGAGAGACAGGTATTTGTGATTTTGTGCTATAAATGTACTCTCATATTAAATTTTATACTTTAGACATGATGACCCTACCTTCCTACCTAAACATTACTTCAAAATTGACAGTTTATAAATTTGTTAACATTCTCAGTTTAACTTCATTATTTGACCTTATTTTATTACAAATAATTTTTTTTTAATTCTGCCTCTAAGAGCCTTGAAGACAGCCACATTTCAATTCTTTATTCTTCTCTCTGCTTCTAACCCTATAAATGTCTAGCAAATTGATGGGTACATGATTGGGAAACAGTTATAAAAGTTATGTATTTAAAAATATTCTCTAACATATTATGCCTTTTTCTTATAGCAGCAGCTTAATGAAAATAAGAGATTATTTGGTTTTGCAGAGGAAAAACTGAGGCTCAGAGATTTTAAATGAATAGTCTGGGGATAACAGCTCCTCACTGATAGTGCTTAAATCTTTTCTTATTTTAAATTTAAAGCTGTATGTATCATATCAACTTGACTTTTCAAAGCATATGGAATTTTCCCCTCTAATTAAAGCAAAGAGAGAAAGCCACCGTTCATCGGAGGCTGCTGTGTTAAGCACTGTGCTAGATGTTTTCATTTTTAATAATTTATCTTTAAAACCCTAAGTGGGTATTATATCTCCATTTTTGTAGATGTATGAACTTAGACACCCTAAATGCTTTCCTCTGTGTGACATTACTAACAAAGAAATGAGCTGGAATGCACAACTAGAGGCAAATAAATGTTTATCATATTATTATGGGATTGGGAATAAGATGATATTGAAAATAAAATGTGAATCCAACAAAATATAATAGGACTCTGGAAAGCCAACCTAAAGAGATTCTTTGATTAATTTATGGTAGTTTCCTTTGGCATTAAAAGAAGGAAATCTTAGAAGGACAAGATTGAAGAGAGATCTTCAGTGTAAGGACCGTCCTTTCTAACATAATAGAAAACATATAGATGAAATCATATTATATTTAATGGACTAAGAAATGAAATGCCTTCTGATGGGCAGAAGACAAATTACTTTTTTTTTTGAGCAGGTGTCCTCATTTTTAACTTGACATAGCGATGTGATATTTCTTCTTGTACTATGTGAGTGGAAAGATAGATGTGTGTCGCGACCTCTTGCCCGCAAGGAAGACTCAACTCGGGAATCTTCTTTCAGCGGTTTATTCAGGCCCTTGATATTTCTTCTACTAATCCCTCGGATGCCCCTCCCAGCCTTAATAAAGCATCTCAAGCCCCAATGCAAAGCTGCCACGTGGAACTTTCTCATAGGGTGCTGAAAAACCATGCACCAACTCTCCCAAATAAGGAGTTGTTTGTCACATACCACAGCGGAGTCAGCGCCATCTTGTAATGGCGACCATAGTCTGCATAAACGGCAGAGGCGGCTCACCACAGATGTGGTTTTTGATATATTTGATGTTTCACCTATTCACTCCATATTGGTTTGAATAAAATTAAGATGAGACACTTGGATATTTTTTAACATACCTAAACTAATGTCAAATAGTTGGGATATGCCTCATAAGAGTAGTAGACTTAGTTTTTATAGCTAATTCTTCACGTGGTGGCTACCACAAGCTGTGTTGCCTAAAGATGGCACTCTATTCTGCCTCTCTATTCTGGCAAACTTACAAAACTTGTTGGATCAGAGCTGGAGCCAAAATTGCTTGGACACTATTGAATTTATTCACGTAGTTGGGTCCCATAGTTCATCAGAAAGCAACTCCTCATAATAACTATGTAAAAATTAACTATTAAATAATAAAACATAGAACAATTTGTGAGACTCAGAGTTGCAGGCATCTCATTTCTAGATCTAAGGATACGGAAAATTATGATAAACATCATTTGTCTTCATCATGTTCCCTTTTCCTAAAGTTTCCTTTTCTTTACTTGTTCCTTCCTATTTCTTCCTGCTGCTACTCTAGAATTCTGGAGTCCTACCTATCTCTGAATATCCTTGATTTTCTTTTTTTTTTTTTTTTAATCAGGCTTATTACAGCCTTGGGATCATAAATAGCTATTTAATTATAAAATTCATTTGAAAATTTTAACTTTATATTTATTGATCAAGTATAACTGATGTTTCTCTTCAATTATAAATAGTTAATAAGACTAGTGGTGAAACAATCCATGCTAGTGCAGTTCCTGCTGAACCTTCTGTATAACAGAAGAACAAGCTGCAGTATGTTGTTACTCAAAGTTGAAATAATAATGAAATTTCATATGTTATCTAAATACTATGCTTTATTATAGATATTTCCATGCATTTGCATTAATAATATAAATTAATATCATCAATAATTGTCATTTCCTCATCTGTTATAATTTGATATTTATATATTAATGTTAATAATATGCTTTGTATAGATATTTGTATTTTAATCTTGATATATGAAAGAATCCCCTACCAAAACAGAATATATGCTAATATAATATTATATATTATATGTAATATAGTGTATTTCAGGCATCCCTCAAACACTGTGTTGGACAGGCATCTACTTCCTTCTCACTATACAGCCAACTCTTCTCCCAGCCCTAAGATGTCCATTAGAGAGCCCAGCTGTTGTTGGACTACCAGGCATACAGCCAGTTGGCTGTGAGCTATAGGTTTCATTGCCAGAATGTCACAGGATTCTCTCAAAGTTGTTTGGTAAAGTGTAGTCTAAAATTATGTACAATATCTGCTTTCTTCTCCCTATGGGAATATGTCACAAGAATAAATGAGATAATTTAGGAGAAGCACTTTGAGTTCCTAGTAAGAAAATGCTTTCTATTTGTACAACTCATTGGAGTTTTTAGTATTATTAATAAATGCTAGATTGAAGTTGACCTAAGGAAAGATCTGGCACTTTACTATTCTGGTATTTGAAAATAAAACTTTTGCAAGATCAGTTGCAACCCACTTCTAGACTACCAAGATATGGTGAGATCCCTCATTTCATTGAATTTGAAGTTGTAGAATTGCTTCCCTTTCTAAGTCTGTTTGTAATGTAAACAATTTGCTCTATAAATAAAGCGCATTTTTCATAGTTGACATGCTATAATTTTCATTTGAAATGTAAGTTAAATTGATGAATTCA